GATATTATTGTTTTTTTCCTATGAACTATTCATTAGCAATAGTTGTTTTCTGTTTGGTTAGCAACAGGCTTAAATTCATTACGGTTGTCTTAAGATCGTACTTATGCTATCGTATACTCCTACCATAAAAAATAAAGATGCGTAATAGGCAAAACATATATTCTTCATGATTTATCTTCTTAGTAAACAAGCTATACACGTCCTACTAGTCTATTTTTATTTGAAATATCTGACTAATGGAAAAGTACTGCTTTTTCAAATTTGATTTATGTGATTTTCAACACATTCATAGAATTCTCAACTATTTGGACTACAGAATCTTCTTTCTATTGTTCTTGATGAAATGAGTTAAACCTTTTCCATTGAAGGAATCACAGTATAGGATAATAAGTATAACACATATGTACCATTTCAAATGAGCATTAACTGTTAAACCGGTAAGAAAGCTTTGCTATGCCTACAAAATACTTAATTGGCTGGTACTATTTACTGCGACCGTGAATGTGACGATAAGTAATGAGAACATAAAGATGAGTGATATTGATTTGTTTGGCTCCAAAAATAAATCAAAATAATACTTGAATGCACCACGTTTTCTACGATTAATTTATATATATCCTGACCCATTGATAAGTTAAAATAAAGCAAAGATAAGATTCACAGAATAATATGAATTAATCATATTCCTAGGCTTCTCATCAGCTACAAGCAGATTGAATTCACATTATTAATATTATTGAAAAAACTTTTTTTATTACACACCATAATGAAGTTTAGTTCAAAATTACTTAAGAAACAAGAAAAAAAAGTCTTTAACATAATAGTTAAGACTGACCAATATTTATATGTTGAACATAAAATTATACAAAAAGGAGAACGATTCATTTCTTATAGAGGTGCTTCTTGCGACCCAGAATCCCCTGACACATTGAATTTAGTGCTTCATTGATCCCTAGCCAGTTGTCCTCTATAGTTGCTTCTTCGTCTTTGAGTAGATCTTGTAAGGCTTGGATCCTGTTGCTGAGAGCTATTTTAATTTCGTTCAGTTTATCAGTATCGTGAATGAAGGCTTTATTAAACCTTTGCAATGCTATCTCTTCAGTTGTCTAGTACTTCTTTAACCTCACTTTCATCCCAGCGACTACCAAGTGGTGATCTGAAGTTATATCAGCTCCTATCTTTGTTTCAAAGTCTTCCACTGACCTTCTGAACTTTTTAGTGATTAAATATGATCGGCCTGATTCTCTGTAGTGTGATCCGATGAGGCTCATGTAGCTTTATTTATGCTACATAAAACTATTTAGTTGAATGTATATAATTTTGTGAATCTGTCATCATTCTTATTCCTTTCTCCTAGTCAGTCTATGTTGTCCGATGATATCTTCATATAAGGTGTTGTCCATTACGACTTTGGCATTTAAGTCTCCCATCGGGATGATCAGGTCCTTTCCTGAACATTTCGTCATGATTTATTCCAGCCTCTCATAAAAATGATCTTTACCGTCGTCATTACGATCATTAGTGGTTGCTTAACATTGGATGACATTCATTGATTCCCTCCTTTTTTGTTTTGAAAGACGTTTTGATGATCCTGGGTCCTCCAGATCCCCATCATATAAATGTTTTTCCTGCTTCTTTGAAAAGCATCAGTTCGACTCCTTGTGTGTGCAAAGCATCCTTATCTTCATGACCAGAATACAACAGCATCTTCGTCAAACCTAATTTTTCCTGTTCAGATTGGGTCCAATAGGTCTCACTGATTTCAAGCACCATCAAGTTGTATCTCCTCAGTTCCGCAGCTATTTGAATGGCCCTCTCAGTCTCCCAAATTGTCGAAATATTCCATGTACCTATATTAATTGTTGATCTAACTGGCAGAAGGGGCATTGGTCTCGCGATTTTCTAAGTCTTGGCTTTCACTATGAGGTATCATAATTCTTATGAATGAAGACCCTTCAACTCGAATAGCAGAGTTTAAATCGTTTAATTTGTTTATCCGGATTAGTGTTTTTTAGAAAGGCTGTTTTCCACGGGATGGAGTTGCTGACCCCATACCCGACCACCCTTCTTTATCCAGGCCTGGGACCGGCAATAATCTTAGAAGGGCTACAGGTGTTGTTTTGTAAATGATAATAATGAGATAATAAACAAAAACAAATTGTAAACAAATGAGTGATAATCAAGGCCTCTATTTGGTATAAAATTAAAGTCGTGGGTGAACGTCAACAGGTATTTTTACTATACGTTATAAGACGTAATCTAGAGATAATGTAACCGACAAGCGTTAAAATAATGCTACTATCTTACAGTGGTAATGAAAGATTCGCCACACATTCATTCTATGTACAAAGGTCAGATCGAGAGCGCCTGATGTAAATGACCGCTGCTAAGCTGAATAAAATTATTATACGTTGCCTGTTAATTAGTTTAAAAGCTTTTGAGTCAACTATTTACTAAATGTTTATAGGTCGACTTATTTCAGTCCTTCCTATATGCTTGATTCCACAAGAATATGTGAATTCGTAAATACATTCAGCGGTGACCTCAGAAAGTATTGATCCACTTTTGATTGATTTAAAGAACGTCTGGTGTAATACACCGAAAATAGTTGGGCTGAAGGGGAGCTTCTCTATTGAGTTGCCTTTATTCTTATATCAATCCTGCTTGAAATATCTTTACTTTTGAGTGTAAGATGGATGAAGACAGGTTTTCTGTTAATAGTTTTGCTTTTTCGTATTTCATAATAAATTTCTTTGGATATCCTTTTTTTATAATACACTCTTCAATGTATGTTGTTTTGTCCTGTATTTTCTCGTTTGAACACAGCTTTCTAGCTCTATTAAATAGGGTTTTGAACAAAGTTTGGAACTAGCAGGACAACGACTACTTTCTTTTTCTGAATATGATCTCGGTTCTTCCATTGTTTTGTTTTCAGGTCTAACTAGTTGAATTGATTATTATGTTCATATTTCATCCCGAATTCGATGTTAATATGTGGTTGATCAAACTGGTAGAGCAACTGTGAGGGATAACTCATGCAATTACAAATAACAAATACATCACCAGCAAACCTTCTGTAGAATTCTACATCTTCGATTCCTCATTTAAGTCTCGTTTCTTCAAGACTGACCATAAAGACGTCAGCCGAAACAGGGCCTAGTGATGATTCCATGGCCAACTCATCAACTTATCCAAATAACTGATTGTTGGATTTGAATTGAACCACTTTCGTGCATATTAATAGTAATTTTCTTATTTTGGAGCAAAGGAAGTAATTCGGAATGCTGGTATATTATATTTAATGAACAAACATCAAATGATATCACAAATTTATCTGATTTGTCCACATGATCAATTTGTTGAAATTATAATGTGCCTTATAAAGTATGATTTGCCATTTTTGTGCAAATACGTTCTAATAATTTTGCTAACCATCGAGCCAGATTATGATACGGTGAATTTATCATTGAAATAACCAGTAGTAAAGAGAGCTTTAAGCTGGAACATCAATCAACTTTTCTTAAAATTTCTTTAAAATGTCTGTTAATTCTGACTTCAGTTGCCACAATAAAATCTTTCTTAGATATATCAATCTGAAGCATATTCTGCACGTAGTCATTTCGATTCACTATGACGACATCCGAACATTTATTTGGTCTTAATACAACCTTATGATTCTTTTGTAAATATTTCAGTATTGACTTGTACTCCTTAGTTAAAGTCATTGAATATGGCATTGAAGAAATTACATATTGATCTAACATATCAACTAACTTGATTTTAAGCCAACCGAGCAGTATCACCAATTAATCAGTAGTTTACTGTGTAAATAGATTTACATTATCACATAATTAAGCATTTATAACAAACAGATATTGAGTAAGTCCATACAACTGTAACTATATATTATACATCAGTCGCGCTACAATCGATTAATCCTATGCTCGCCATATGAAGTTTTGTACTGAATTCAGTGGTATTCGCAAACGTACACATACACATGTTCCCTGATCTAGAAGCATTTATTAAAAATATATACTTATCAGGACAAAAGTGCAGTAACACTCAGATAAATAATCTCAAATACGATTAAACGCACCTAATCAACCACCGTTTAGATGGCGGTGGACAAGTGGCTCAGTGATTAAAGCGTTTGACGTTCAACCGATAAGTCCTAGGTTCAGACGGCAGTTCACCTCCTTCAGTTTAGGTAACCGGGTAGTACCACCAATCTTTACATTTAGAGCGTGGCTCATAGATAAGTTTGAACAGTATCATACGGCGAATTTGTAAAAGTATTTACACTGTAAGCTAACACGTTTTAAAAGAGATAAAAATGATAAGAGTCCAGTAAGCTGATGATCGAAAGTAAGAAATCTAAACAAAAAAACCCAACTAACATAAACAATCCTTGTAAGAAAGCCAAATAGAGATATAGTATTATATATATTTAATTACTTCTTACGGAATAGTAAATTGATTTATATGAGCCAAAATAGTTTATAATAATAATAATTTAGGCACATAGGATCTTTTGTCAGTTGTTAAATAAATGTTTATTCTCATAAAAATATGAATGTGTACAAAAAGAAAAACAAAGCTGAAGCCAACAATAATCCATCTGTACTAGACGTGACATCAGCAGATTAATGAAGAAATTAATTCAAAACAAGAAGATACAGAAAATATGTGCAATGAATAAAATAATTGATTGGTTAGATAACATTGACAATGATTTTGATGTAGAATGATAATGAATAAAATAGAGTATGAGATTTTTTAAAAAAAAAGACAGAATAATTATTTCCAAGAAGTTAAAATAATGCAACAGACCATAGTTATTAATACAATCTAATTGAGTAATAAAGAAAAGTTCTTCACAGTGAAAGAGAGTTTATAGGTAAAAAGAAAAATAAAGACACACACAAAAAAAACAACTAGGTATAACAAAGTTACACTTTTTTTTCAGCAGTATTATATTAAAAAATTACTTTGTTTATTTACTCTTCCCGATTATCGTTTTGTGGTATTTTTGATGTCAACAGCATAGATGGATTTGTATTACCAACTTCTAAATTATTATTTTGTAAATAATGATCCATTCGATAACGCCAATTTACACCATCTCCAGGACTAAACAGTGAAATAAGAAGAAATGGTTTTAAATAAATATTTATCATATTATATATATTATGAAAGCCATCATCCAGAAGATACAAGTGTTTATTAACAGTTGCCTACGCGAAATTCTTCGGATTCGTCGGCCAGACACTATCAGTAACAACCTACTATGTGAGAGAACAAATCAGATCTCAGCGGAGGAAGAAGCGCTGGAAGTGAATAGGACACACATTGAGGAAAGCACCCAACTGCGTCACAAGACAAGCCCTCACATGGAATCCTCAAGGCCAAAGGGAAAGAGGAAGACCAAAGAACAAATTACGCTGGGAAATGGAGACAGACATGAGAAAAATGAACAAGAATTGGATGGAACTAGAAAAGAAGACCCAGGACAGAGTGAGTTGGAGAATGCTGGTCAGCGGCCTATCCTCCATTGAGAGTAATAGGCGTAAGTAATATATATATATATATATATATATATATATGATTTTGCTAGGATTAAACAAAAAATTCTGTCGAGTCTTAGACAATAATTTCGTAATTTAATGCGTCAAAATTTCGTTGCAGATTGATAAACTATGACGTAACTGTTCCTTCACATCATCTACTTCATTTTTAAATGTTATTTCGATCTAAGATCGCCCACGAATTAACTATTACACAAACAACTTGTACAAACATATGAAAACAGTAAGAACTCTCGTGAAAAAAGTTAACTTTCCATTTTTTTTACAATTCAACAACTGAAGTGTTGTTACAAATACAGTCATTCCACATAAGCTTAGCAAAAGTCGTACAGCTTGAAGCCAATGTCAATCTCTCATAACTACAAAGTACAACAGACTAAAAAAATCCACAGTTGGAAGCAATGTGACTAGATTCATTATGTAAAAGTGTATTATCTGGTATGCTCGAACCCAGAAGTACGGCAGTACTATTAGCCCTCACATGAACAATGTGGCTCAAAGCCGAGTTACATAAAATTATACATAGTAAATGAGTAACTTTACTTATGTGGCTATCTCAAAGAGTAAAGATTTTATTCTCAATAGTTTTCGTTCATAAACCTCTGGTAGGAATACATATAAATACATGGCACTATACTGAAGTCGAACATAAGAATGAGCAAAAAAAAGCATGTGATACAACTATTGAAAAAGATGAGTTTGGGAACAAAATTAGTGAGTCAGTAGTGTAAGAAACTTCACGTATATTTGTCAACAGAAAGACATAAGTAATATCCCTATCATTGTCGCTTACGAAGTAAGTTAAGTCTACATTATACGTTACTTAACAGTAAAAACATTTTAGCGGTTAGAAACTAACTAAAAGATAATTTGATCTACCTAAGAAGTATGTTAACAAAAGTTGGCTATGACCATCTGATTGGTCGACGAAAAATTGATCAATTTAAGACGCTAAATATTGTAATACAGTTAAATTAAATACTGTATCCATGGTTACACTACGTGACCATCGACATATTCGTTTACCAACCAAATGGATAAAACTGAGTTCATTTATTTCAGGTGAATTATTCAAAACCTCAAAATTCCTAGTGAACAAGCTTATTTATACACGTACATACACATAAGAATCAAGTAAAAAAATTTACTGGTTGAAATCATGAGTCAATTGAAGCTAGACCACCAGGTTTTCCATGGTTTCCATGATTTCAACCAGTGAAATTTCTAAAAATCTACACAAAACCCATTCTGATAAATAATTTTAATTGACAATAAAATTAAGACATACTAATCTCTTAAAGTGATATAAAAATGACAAAATATGGGATTTAGACAGGAGTTATTGGCAACTGTCTGTTATGGACAAAAATACAAATACAATCCAAGTTAAGTGTTGAAATGAAACTTTTAATGAGAATTACACTCCAATATTCAACATTAACTAAATGAATGGAAAAATAATCGAAAATATAGGGTAAGATACACTCAGTGAATATAAGAGCCTTTCGAATAAACTCAGTACAAATATAAGAGCATGACAGTGAGAATTTTTCAAATCAAATGAATTTGCCTACACAATTATAACCAAGTTCTTATCTATTATCCCTCCCTCAATAAGTGGTTTATAATGTGCATCGAATTGCTTATTCAGATTAATTCTGGTTGCGATTTGAAATATACTACAATGTACAATAACCAAGCATTTGTTTTCTAATGGACTTCTAAACAGGGTTGAAGTACAAATTTTCATCAACGGAATAAAAATGCTTGTCATTCATCACCCAACAGATCGAAAATTAAATTGTTATATCTAGTACATACTTCACAGTTTACTGGAAATCGTATTCTAATGTTTTTACATACTATTCATTTTGTTAAAATTGAGTTCGTGTTATCACTTGTGGCCTGAATGCCCTGCTAATGTATATGTAACGAAATCGCCAATTAGACAGCAATGACTTATCGATCGGATCAATGACGCATAAACCCGTACGAGCAGTCTAGAGTCCTGATTGGTCCTGCTTTCCGCCTAGCCCAGACAGTTAAGTCTAGAACATCAATCTCAGCCTCTGCAATATGAATCATTTATTTCAAACATACTGAGTTTATATACCAATCAAACAGACCACAAAGTACCATAAAATAGAAAATGACATTTGTACAAGATTTGGCGAAAAGTGGTTGTGAATGAGGGAGATAGTGATTAATAGACAGAGCATAATTCAAGAATGGTAAAACGCATAATAATAGTTCATAGGTCAAAATAAAGCTAACGATAAGAAGGATATGAATATGCATAGTTTAGTTATTTAACAATTATATGATAAAAATATAAGTCTAGTATTGGTCCATAAATGGATCCCAAAAGTTACCATTCATTATGCTTATCGGGAGATAACAGTTCGTTAAGCGGATTGTTAGTTTAATTGTGAAACATTTATTGACATTTTAGATAATATCATCATCAAAAACTTTAGATAGTAGTGAGCTATTATAATTCCTCCACAAGTAAATAACCACTTATTTTTTCAACGTAAAATTTAACTTGATGTTGTCAACACTTAATTGTTTGATTGTTTATCATTACATTTTAATCTCCTGAAATGCTAATTTTCCTCCGTTTTTCAAGGACACCATAATCTTTCGTATTGTTGATGGAAAGCATTTATACTTGTTTTCATTAAGTGTAACTATATACATGTATAACAACCTGACCACGTGCAAGATTAATAAATTATAAAATATAAATAACAATCAAATTCTAATTTTCTATCGATGAGTTAGTGACTAATTTGACCTACTTACTACTTTCATAAACCTTTTTATTACGTGACCACTATTTACACTTGATTACTGTGTAAAAATGATTACTTTGTAAGTGAAACTATTAAAAAGTCAAGCCAACCACAAGTTGAGCTAAAAATAGAAAACTTTTTAAAAATATTAGTAAATCTAAGTAACAGGCATTCTCAAATTAAGTAATATGCTTTTTGGCACATAACATGGAGACGACTCAACATAAAAATTGGATTCCCTAAGAAATCGTGCAAAAGTTAACAATAGGATCCGTGGAAAGTCTGCTCTGTTCTAATGTACCGGATTACATAATTGATTAATTAATTAATTGATTGTTACGTTGATAAATGATGTTGGTTCAGTGATGCCTACATACGACAGTACATACTGTCGTCTAAACCAAGTTGAATTTTGCTATTTATAAAGAAACTAAATTACTATTATAGTTCGGATTTTTCGATCTCACGACACCGATGAGATTGTAAGCATGAATGAGATAATTTTTCGGAAAGTTGCTGATATGAATATATGTTTGACTTGTTGAAATTTAAAATTCTAACTGTTTAATAAACTATTTAGTTTACGGAACATTCAAAGGTATCTTTTGTTAAATCTCTAGTTTGTCAGCTATCAACCAACTGTATTCCATCATCAATGTAAAAATACAACAATAGATTCATTAGATTAAACTTTTTCAAACTTATATTTGACTTATGGATTAACATTATACATGTTTACTAGTTCTCAACTGTCACGTGTAGTCATACTAAAAGAAAACTTAATATCGATATCAAATACACTGTCGATCAAGGAGTTAACTTTCTGAGTGTGTATGTTAATAATACAACAAACCGCGAAAAGTCAGCCACAGTAAGCACCATACTTCAATGACTAATGATTACATGATTGATTTAGAATAGCTGTTTCTTTTTATTGGTTCAAATTTATTAAAAAGCGCCGAATTAAAAGTACATAAATAAACCCGAAACAAATAGTCCCAAACGAATTTAAAGCTTAGATCATTGTCATCAAGATAAGTTCGAAGAGATTCTCATTTACTGTCAACATATTCATATTTACTATCCAACTGATTACAAATGAATACATGCCAATCACTCTTTTATTTAAAACAGCTTGATTATTCTATATCTAAGCACATAAATCATAACTTCATGTTAAATTTGTTACAAACAAGGTTAGATTTACTTTCTACACGTTATTTTCACTGTTGTTTCAAAATACTGACAAGTTAATTATGATAAAATTATTCTACTACTACTACTACTACTACTACTACTACTACTACTACTACTACCACTGTGGTGTATGCTACTTATGTTGACAGATATAAGTAGTATGTATTATCGATCGGAAGTGGACTACCTGCCAACAGAAGCTTGAATCGAGAAGAACAGGAAGGGAAACAGAGAACAACAAGAATAGCGACAGAATTGGAAGAATCATGAAGTATGTAAACGACAACTGAAGGAAGATATGCAAACAATGTATTCAATGTATGGTTTTCATATTTTACCATGACATTGTGTAATTTCGCATGAACAAATAAATTGGTTGACCATACCAAGTCTTCGTTCACTACACCACTACTGAATAAATGAATGAGAACATTTCACTTTCGAAACTGTTAAACTAATCAGTTGCTAATTAAAACTATTTATTAATTTACATGAATCTTCTAAAAATGTACCATATATACAACGATTAATTTAAACTTTATCGTTTCGAATTGTCAATTCATCACTTTCATCATTGACATTAGCTTTACAATAAAGTGTGTACAGTTAGTTTAAATTAAATAATGAATAAAAATGTATAGTTACTAGTAAAGATTGAATTGTAATAAAATTCTCAGCAAGGAATACTCAATACAAAGGCAAATGATACTGTAACTTTGTTATTTAAAAGAAAATGCATACAACGTTTTATTTACAATCGGTTAATGAATTCTTTAGAAAATTTGTCGAATATTCAAATGTATCGACTAAGTACAAGATATTAAGCGATTCAATTTCATTATATTTAGAAGTACGCATCAAATAATAGATCACTCGTGTGTATGCATGCAAATAGTTCATTATATCTTTCATCAGCATTCAGTTTATTGATGAGGAAATATTGTTAGTCAGTCGGCCACAACATAGGGATCAGGCACATATGTTCATCGGTCCAACTTGTCATACCTCATTAACACAAAAAGATGAACACCAATTTCATACAAGCAGTTAATTCAGTGGTCGTAATATATAAAAGAAAGATTGCATGTAAGGACATAGTACAGGAAGAAAGAATTAGTTAGTAGAAAGAAAGATATAAAGCAATTTCAATCTCTTAGTTTAAGGGAAGACAAAGAGTGTATACACCTACGACATTGTGATCGATTCTGAGCCATGTCACAGAGAGTCTCCAACCATTAGTCACGATAGTCACGCGGACCCCAACCAAGTAGTCTGCATTTACCAACATGGCTCAGACTAGAAGTTAGAGACTTCAAGCACTGATGCCACGTTTTGGTTTGGCCGCCTCTAACTTTCTTCCAACCATTACCAACACTAGTCAGCATTGCACGTCGTGGTAATCAGCAATCTTGACAGTCAATGATAACTAGGATATCGACTTAATTACCAAATGAAAATGAATCGTTTCAAAAATCTGTTAAACTTTTAATGAGGCCTTTACAATTGGTTAATCACTCAGTATGTATGTCAAGTTTTTTTACTGTTGATCGATAGAATTCAACATACATGAAGTAGTTGACAGAAAACATTAGACCTAGGTTTCATCCCGGTTGTCACTCGTTAGTAAGGTGAACCTGTAATCTTGCTCACTAGTGTACTCGATCCCATGTCACCCAGCTTCACATTCAGAGACGTTACTATTAAGCTACTAAGGCCGTGACTAACCTTTTGCAGGACGGAGGTGCATTCACAGTTGATTAATCACTGGGTAGTGACTAGCGTCACGTTATTTAAACAACTGTGAAAAACTAGGAAGCATTGGAAAGCTGCTTTGTCCTAGTGTGGGGCTCATAGGAAGTGAGCATCCATGATAACACCCAAGACCGAACCTAAGACCTTCAGGCCTCACGGCAGGTGCTTAACCTCGAGATTACTGGGTCGGAGTCCAGCACTTTAAATTTAATTACTTTCCCTGATTGCAGAGAAACAGTTTAAATATATAAAACAATATTGAGAACGAATAGTTGAAATAGTTCTTACACTGAACATAACCCATGAAAAATAATGCATAACGAATAAAAAGTTATAATTTTTTTCATTCCTAACAAAAATCCAGTTTCGGATCAAATAAATAAGACGACAGTATTCTTGATAAACATAATAAGGCTATTGGTAAAGAACTATGAATAATCTAACAAGAACACCAACTCACGTAGTGAATACTGGTAGTATAGCTAATTGAAAACAAGATCCAAAAGTTTCACGGAAATTTTCTTTTATCCCCAAATTGAATAGAGTCTTATCAGGTTGACCGCCACGTAATCTTGGATAGTGAAAAGTTTCTATTGGATAGTAAGAAAAATATAGAGTGTTACAGAATCAATGATCAACTATGTTAAATAAAAGCAAAAACAACATGCAGTTTAAGAACCGTCTACTTCAACTGAATATTTACAAATAAACAAAAATAAATGCTATTCAGATATTTAGAGATACTAAATAGAAGCGTAAAAGACAAGAACAACAATCTTTGTAGAATGAATTGTGAATTCATTTCATATACTTATAATCTTTATACCCACTGATTTGAATAAATCAATAAAGGGTAATGAGTTTACTAATGAAAATTAATTATCATTACTTTTCATATTCACATCAGTTAATATGTAAACTGAAATTGTATGAAAATCTTCTGAGTTTATTTATCTTGCCTTATAAATAATTAAAAGTTCATTGAGCTGGCACTTATAATACACACAATCAAACAAACAAAATCAATTAACATAAACTATTCAAATAAGTTTGTATCCTTGTCCTTGAAATTAAACACTAGATATGAATGTTAATAGTTTTATTTTTCTGAAAAAAATATTTTCTTATTGTTTATGAAGTAATTTCTAGACACAAATTTGTAAATCATCTTAATGAAAATGTTAAGTCTTGTCGATTAGACGCTATATTCGTTCCTAAGCTATTCTGATAACCCGCACGCTAAAACTATAGTGACTTGAACACCGGAAAGAAGACGCAAAAGTATGAGAAGGACACTTTACTCAGAGGGTAGTTTTTGTACAGAAAACATGGGTATTTATAGATGTTAACGTTTGTTAAATCAACATCATATTTCGGCCAATCCGTTAGCGACATATTATGCTAATGACCAATAGTAGCACGCCACGTTGGAATTCTAGAATGCTCCATCATGCTCTGATTGGCTAAGACTCTTCGGCTCCTTTTTGGGCCTCTGGAGGCTCCGTTGAAGTTCTCCGAAAGCCGACTCAACAGAAAAGAAACAAATAATTCAATACTTTTGTCTTGTTTTTTCTTGGTATCATCTTTGAGCTCATAGAATAAAAACTTAATTTTTTGATTGAGTATTACATGTAAAATAACAGCTGTATATCTATGTTCATTTAGAGGAAATCATTAAACTGTTCAATAAACTAATAATCTATACTGAACACATATTAGTTTGATTTATCTTTATCGAGGTCGTTCGATTCCCTTTCTTTCTTGTGTAAAAGAAAAGCTTATTGACGTCTTATACATTTTATATTGGTTGTCACATTATGTTTACAAATATTTGGTTTCAATGGGAAAGATTAAACATCAATAAAGATATTCACTTGGTATTGTTTGGTTTGTATCTTCCCATTGAGGTTTAAGATTGCAATTGATCAGTCTGTTATTAGCATATGTGCATACTGTGCGTATGCCTCGATATTACCTTAATTCACAAGCTATTTGTAAGCAATGATGGATAGTGGCTAGCAGTGGAATCCAGGACGCGCGTTTCGTCCTACTTGGGAGTCGTCAGCTGGATGAACCTGCATCTCAGAGTTGATGTTCACCCTGGGACTCGAACCCAGTACCATTCGCTTCAAACGCAATCGCACTATCCACTCAGGAGATGTTAAGTATTAGTTTCGAGTATTAACCAACTCCATATACATTTGTATTTTGTTTCTTCACAGTTCAAAATAAGATTTAAAGATTCGTATTCTTTTTCCTAACCTATTACCATGGCTGTCATACAATATTTAATTGAATAAACAAGAAGACAAGTGATCCGTTTAGGATTGTCGAATTATAGGATCATATTTCACTTCAAACAATAGCACAAAAAATAACAGTAACTATACACCACACAGACAGTCCAACTAACGACACATTTAATGTGACGATAATCTAATGTATCAATGTAATGCTTGAGAAGAGCTCGTTTTCAGGCGTAAAATAATCCTGCAGAATAAACACTGAACTTCCTTGAGTTACACCCCTAGTTTTTGACTGACGATATATATCTTGAAGTATTCCCCATATACTTAACACAATACAGTAAAAATGGATTTAAAATATCTAAATGTCCCATATTGTAGATGAAAACAACTTATATAAACGAACAATCTTGTTATCAATTAAATATTCACCAGATTTGACTATAATATACAGTAATAGTTATATTCATATACGAAGAATGGATTAACATAACTAAACATAAAAATGAACCATGAATCAATAATGAATTAGTTCTGTGCAAGATGAAAGAAATTGAAGAATAAAATTTCAAAAATTTTCTAAGGTTATCTAACACAAAAATTATATATATATGATATACTCTTTATGGTAGAGTTTACCCAGTGCTTGACACTCTGTTTTAGTTGTACGACACCATGTCATGATTACAGTGCATCAACGATGGTGATTAGAATAAACTTGACATCATCACTTATAACAGGATTAAACTTAACATGCACTAATACCAACAGAATAATCTAGTTAAACAGAAAAAGACTCAGTTATCAAATTAAGAAAACTGAGCAAAAGTATGATATATTCTATTTAAAAAACTGAACAGTCTACTGTTTTTCGGTAAATCATAAATATATGAATAGGTTTCCACACTGGAATTTTGATTGTAAAAACAATTCTACATAATATATTCAAATACTTTACGTGATTAGAAGATTGAAAGTATATGGATGAGGAAATCTGACATGATTTCAAAACAAATCAATCAATATATTTAGGGAGTATAAATGTAGGTTAGAGGTCAAAGCACTCGATTATTAGACAATCAAGAGCAAAAGTTCGAATCCGGTCTCAGCTAATTTAGTTTGGATAGTTGGTTAATATCATCATAACTTTCATACATATAGTATGGCTTAAAAATAAGTAGACAAATTTATACTCTGTAGTTGAGTTACATTAAATTGGTCAAATCATATGTTTTCAAATTAAAGCTAAACAACTAACTTGTCATGCTAATTTTAGCTCTCAAGTTCTACTTTAATCAATAAGCTAATTGAACAACTTGATCAAGTTCTCAGTAAGTACCTTTTTCTTGGTTAAATTATCCGAAATTTCTTAACTAAATGGAATATTTTAATTGTTTTGAATGAGAATTAAAATCTTAAGGAATTTTATTCTGAACAAACAAAAATATAACACTTAATTGTATTATATAGTTTGCACGAATAAACTACTTACCTAAAGTTGATAGATTTATTCCAACCAAATACATATGATATGAAGCTAAGCCAAGTTGACAAAGACCAAACATAGCAGCCACAATAAAAAGGAATAACACTTGAAATCGATCAACTGAGATATTATTTGGACACTGAAAACAAAAAAAATAATCAACACATCAACAAATTAACTTACTACTAATTAAAATTTATGGAAGTAATTATATGAACAGATAGCTAAAACACAAACAATTTTCTCAATGTGAGACTTGGTACAGACAAACATCTGTTTAAATTGCTACACTGTAAAATCTTCATGTCCCTTTTTGCCTCTTTCCAAATTTATTTCACTGGATTATACTCTTTAAATAACATCTCCAAACCCTAATCTTCCCGATTACTGCTTATACTCTTGCTACCTCTACCACTATGGGATTTGAATTGACAACTGCATCTCTATGTTAAGGTGGTGTGGCAACTCGAACTGATGTACGTACGTACGAAGTTCTACCTTGTTACTGACTGACTGACAATGTAAAATATATCAAAGTAAGAAGAAATTAACAAGATGAGAAGTAAAGGAATCTAATTTGTATGAACTAAAGATAGAAAATATAGTTTGAAATGAAGGAATGAATGAAAAATTACGTAGTAACAGTGATAATAACAAAAAAATTCAAAATTTAGAAGATAAACAATAAATACATGGTCATTACTATCATTTTGATGAAAGAGTTAACTGACACTGATTTTATAGTTAATTCTGAAACTTATTTGTAAGTATAGATTTATAATGGAAAGATAATTAAAATGAACTTTTTTTCGTGCAATTTATGTCTAAATGAGAATATTCAATTTATTAGAAATATAATAATAAACTCACGTAACAAATACATGTTCATATAACTGACTTTCAGTTATACTGTTCATAATGAGCACCTACTGATGCTACTTGGTTGCTGAAGCTGAAGTAGGTGGTAGGGAGTTTAAACCTACTACCTCAACAGTTGGAAATCAAGTGCATTAACTACTATATAAAAGGTAGAAGTTCATTTAAAAAAGAAAAATGATTCCCAACTCTCTAATTACATGAACACTAGAGATGTCTAATAGGTCTAAACGAAGAATCTCCTTCCACGTTTATTGAGACCAAAATTACTATCAAAATAATGGAGATAACTGCCAACTCAAATGAATTCTTTATTGATATAAGGTATTCTGATATGAGATGAACAAAGAAGAAATGAAGAACAATGGAAGCTATTTTTTCAAGAAACTTTCACTTAATTCAAAATCTGTAAAATACTAACATTCAGTTTCGATCTCTCTTATATTCTATAAAGCATAAGCCTTTCGTTTAGTGTATAAATCATTGTCATATTCTTTTCTATTCCACAATTACTGGAATTTGGAAATAACCTTTGTGTCGAACGGGGTATGAGGAATGTTGAAACCTACAGAGACGACTACACCAAGGCTATATAGCCTACCAAAAACACATAAAAGTGACTTGCCTCTTCGACCCGTTTTAGATACGAATAACTCAGTCTATCACACTATAGCGAAATGGTTGGTGCAAAGAAATTGTTAAGCATAGTGTCAAGGATTCTTTTGAATTTGTTGATAATATAAAAAATCTATTGGCCAAGAATAACTTCATGATATCAATAGATGTATCGTCCTTATTTACTAATATTCCCCTACTCGAAACAGTAGGTTTTATTCGCAATGAATTAACAGAGAGGGGCATAGAAACCGTAATTCCTGCATCTGCAATAAAACAGTTAATTCTTAGATGCACGATGAATGTCCATTTCCGATTTAACAATGAATACTATAGACAATTAAGTGGGGTAGCCATGTCGTCACCACTGAGCTCTCTGTTGGCAGACATTTTTCTTGCAAAACTAGAAAATGGACCACTTAAAGACACAATTAGCCATTTAACATCTTTGTTGTAACGGGTGTGACTGAAGGTTTTGATAAGCAGCGTATTTATTGATCGTTACAACAATCTTATTGTTGGTAAATAGATGATACTTTCATAGTATTAGAAAAAGAACAGGAAAAAGGAGAATTTACTTAACATATTTAATCAGTCAATCAGCTACAACGTAGGACCAGGCACATATGTTCATCGGTCTAACTTGTCATACCTCATTAACACAAAAAGATGAACACCAATTTCATACAAGCAGTTAATTCAGTGGTCGTAATATATAAAAGAAAGATTGCATGTAAGGACATAGTACAGGAAGAAGGAATTAGTTAGTAGAAAGAAAGATATAAAGCAATTTCGATCTCTTAGTTTAAGGGAGGACAAAGAGTGTATACACCTACGACATTGTGGTCGATTCTGAGCCATGTCACAGAGAGTCTCCAACCATTAGTCACGATAGTCACGCGGACCCCACCAACCAAGTAGTCTGCATCTACCAACATGGCTCAGACTAGAAGTTAGTGACCTCAAGCACTGATGCCACGTTTTGGTTTGGCCGCCTCTTGTTCATTTTTCTCATATCTATCTCCATTTCACGGCGTAATGTGTTCTTTGGTCTTCCTCTTTCCCTTTGGCCTTTAGGATTCCATGTGAGGGCTTGCCTTGTGACGCAGTTGGGTGCTTTACTCAATGTGTGTCCTATCCACTTCCAGCGCTTCTTCCTAATTTCTTCCTCCGCTGTAATCTGGTTTGTTCTCTCCAACAGTAGGTTGTTGCCAATAGTGTCCGGCCAATGGATCTGAAGTATTTTGCGTAGACAACTGTTAATAAACACTTGTATATTTTGGATGATGGCTTTCGTAGTTCTCTAGGTTTCTGCCCCATACAGTAGAACTGCCTTGACATTTGTATTGAAAATCCTGACCTTGGTGTTGGTTGACAGTTGCTTTGAGCTCCAGATGTTATTCAGTTGTGAATATGCTGCTCTTGCTTTGCCGATCCGCGCCTTCACATCTGCATCAGATCCACCCTGTTCATCAATGATGCTGCCCAAATACGTAAAGGTTTTTACATCTTCCAAATCGTCTCCGTCAATTGTGATTGGATTGGTGCATTCTGTGTTGTATCGGAGAATCCTGATTTTCCCTTTGTGTATATTGAGACCTACAGCTGCTGAGGCTGCTGCCACACCGTTCGTCTTCTCCTGAATTTGTTGTTGAGTTTGGGATAGAAGGGCCAGATCATCTGCGAAGTCTAGATCGTCTGACTGCATCCTAGATATCCACTGTATCCCGTGCTTCCCTTCAGATGTTGATGTCTTCATGATCCAGTCGATCACCAGGAGAAAGAGAAAGGGTGAGAGTAAGCAACCTTGCCTGACACCGGTCTTTACCTCGAACGAGTTTGTCAATTGTCCTCCATGCACAATTTCGCATTTTAATCCATCATAGGAATTCCGTATGATATTGACTATCTTCTGAGGCACGCTATAGTATGGAAGAAGCTTCCATAGTGTTGTTCTGTTCACGCTATCAAATGCTTTTTCGTAGTCAATGAAGTTGATGTAGAGTGATGAATTCCATTCAATTGATTGTTCCACAATGATCTGTAGAGATGCGATTTGGTCTGAAGTCCCTCCGGGGGGCTACTAGCGGTCCCAAGCCCGGATAAAGGAGGAGGGTTAGGCATGGGGTTAGCGACCCCATCCCGTAGAAAACCAACTCGCTAAAAAAACGCTAACCAGAAAAAATTATTCAAACCTTATACGCAACACGTGGCTCATAGTTTAAGGGGAACATATTTAATAACATTCATTCATCAATTACTTTTACAATAAAGGATGTCCAACTAACCAGAAGAGTAGATGGAACATTAAAAAGAGGGATACATAGAAAGCCTACAGTTGGACAATATACCCATTTCGATAGTGCTGTACCAATCAGATACAAAAGAAACTTGATAAAGATCATGACTTATTGTGCTAGAATGATTCGCTCAGATGATATCATTATAGATGAATTGGATAATATTCGTAACTTGCTTAGTAGGAGTGGATACCCAACGAAATTCATCGACAAACACATGAAGGAGATGAAAACAAGAACAAGGTTACCTACCATTCCGAAAAAAGTAATGTTCTTAAAATTACAATTCCTAAATGACGATACCGAAAAAAGTGTGATATAAAGGTTAAGAAAGGCGCTACAGAAAACATTTAATGCAGCCAAACTAAGTGCCGTCTTTTACAACCGCCCTACAATAAGAACGCTTAATACAGATTGCCTGAATTCGCCAAATCTAGGTGTATTTACCAATTCAACTGCTCCTGTGGAGTCAGTTAATATGAGGCGTACAACTCGGCAAGTCCATCATCGCATAACAGAATACCAACCATCTTGGTTGAACAAAGGACGGGTAAGTTCTATTCTTACTCACTTGGTGGATACAGGCCATCAAGTTTAATTACATAAAGCTTTTAAGGTTATCCACCATATTCCATCAAATTTGCCACATGGTTTACGAGTTTGTCTTTTGCACATTGCTGAAGCCAGTGGAATATATGTTAACAAACCAAACCTTTGCATCCGAAGAAGTTTATACAACCACTCTCGCTACCTTGGCCGTCGGTATAGGGGAGTTAGTAGTAGAATTTTGTTAAACTATTTTCGTATTTCTTCCACTTTTTGTATTTTACTTATTCTCAACATTCGTCTTTTGATTCTTGCATAATTACTTTGGTGATTATAATCCTCTTTCTTCCAATTACTCAATCTTCGTTTATAATCGGTATGTCACTATATAATTATTATGTAACGTATCTACTCGATGAGTACTATTTCATTATTATAAATGACATATATATTGATGTAGAACTATGATGAAAAACTAATTGAAAAGAAATTTCTCCTCTTGATTCTCTCCTCATTTATGTACTGAAATGTTCACGAAAACGGATAAAACCAAATGGCCCAGTAAGAGTAGATGATGAACATCCATCGTCCGCTATTGCTAAATGCATAGTTGAAACAGGTCAGAAGATTGATCTTACCTCAACTTTTGTGGCTCTGTACAAGAGTGTTCAAGTGTGTATACGAAGGTTTATTAAAACCTTGAGAACACGAATATTCATACCCCGTTTTTGTGTTCAAAAACTGCTTGTTGTCACCATAAACCAGCTCTGATAATATTGTTTTGTTACCCAGAGTGGTGAGTTTCACTTCGCTTTATTTCCTTTCTTATTCTTGTTTACTCTTACCTTCTGTTTATCGAGTTGATCCTTTAGTTTTTCATACACAAATGTTCCTAACAGGTAAATGTGTGATTGAATTGTTCGAAACGTATTGTGTTAACATATCACATAAATTTGATAATCTTATTACATTATCCAAATGATGAAAGGACAAAACTGATATAAATGACTCAAAAGCAAATCATACAGAGTGAAAATGAAGCTAATTTCAATAACTTACTCTCCAAAACTCTGCAAAATACGACGCAGAAGTACAAATAATAAAAAAACAGTACACCACACCCCATGATAGAAAGACAATAAAGAATTTGTGATTATGAAATCCAATACAATTATTCGTCCTGGAGTAAAAGGAAAACAGAAGAGGCATAAAACAAAGAAATATATGTAAAGAAAGGACAATAACTGGACATTAACCATGTAAACCAATGGATGAGTAGAGATTTAGACACTTGTTTGTGTTGGAGCTGGTGATACTACCTGACGGCCTAGACCTAAGTAGGTAAAGCATGTCCACCATGATTGCTATTGGCTTATATTCTGAGCCATTTACGTTAAAATGGTATAGCCAGAGAAAACTAATAAAATCCTTATTATTTAGGTAACAGGTAACTGTATCTTCCAGTATACTAAACGATCATGATTTTTTATCATAAAGAAAATCCTATTTTGCAAACTTGATACACTCTAAACAGAGGATAAAATAATGAGAAGGATCTTCGTTACAGCTCTTAATCAACACGGACAGCCGATCAAAAAACTCCCATTTACACTACCAGTCATTCGTTATGATGAATTAAGTGTCACAATTGTGGTGCAAGGAATTCAATGCTCAACTTATTTGTCACTGAATATGATTTTTTTCCAATTAACGCTTAAACCCATACAAAAAGTGTCGAATGTTCAGTAAGCTTCAATAGTAAGATCATTTACAATGATATCTATTAATTTTGTAATTGCACTAAGATAACTAGTCAAATTATGTTGACAAAAAGCAATGCATAAACGAAAACCATATTATTATACTACCACAAGTTATTAAAGCTAAATTTATTAGGTAAAATAACCAGAAAATCAACTTTTAAAAAAATAACTTCACTAATCACAATCTCCCAGTAGTCTCGTCATCTAACCCCAGCAAGCGTAATCATGCATGCTTAAGTATTAAGGAACTTTTTTTGAATTTTTAGTTGATAAGTAATCGCTTATATTCTACTGGTTACAATCAATCGGTTGATAATATGATATACAGATAACTACTGGCAACCGTTTCTAGGTGATGTAGATGTCAAGAATTCAAGGAATCGAAGTGAAATACAATATGGATTCATTGACCTATCCTAAAATACGTATGAATAAATAAGTAAATCACCCTTTATTATTATACGCATATACTTAGAATATAATTATCTCAAACACTATCGATCTGTGAAAAATCGGGACAACTTCTAACCAAGGGAATTCTAGGACTAGCACCACAGTAAACAAAAAAAAGATTTTTTAAGATTGAAGAATATATACGCACTATTTAATAAGCTAATCCACATGTTTTCGTGTACGGAACTTCAAATGTAACAGAGGAAACGTGGTTCGTGTCTCTACGCTTCAAGATAAGACATAATACAGTATGGATATGAAAAGTTAGTGAAAACAAACTATTGAAGTATGTGGAACACAAAAACAGATATAACTGTATCAACAAGTATAAATAACAAATTTATCACCAATTTACCTAATCTTGGAGGCCCTATTTCGCATTCTACAGTTAACATATATCCAGAAAAACTATAACTGTTGTTTTTTTCATTAACCTGATATGACCTTATTGAGCCTAATCACTAACATGATTACCCCTTGTGACAGATGGAGATATATGAGCGAATTAGCTACTATTCTCAATGACGGAAGTTAATTACTCTGTTCGATGATTTGCCTACTTGGCCCTATATTTGGCTAAGCAATATTGTTCATTCGACAATGCTAACAAATCTCAGCCGTTCTTCAAGAGATTACTTTCAAACAACAATACTAGTTTCACCTCCCGAGTGCGTGTAGTATTTCATAGCCACCTGACACTAAACACTGAATCAATAAGCTGAAAATAATTAAAAACTGGTAAAATTTATTCTTAGCTTTTTTACATAAGTGTCAATAAAAAATACAATGTAAAAAGTTGACAGTTTTGACAATATAGTTAATCATAATGCTTGAATACACACCACGATTGAAAACTACAACTCTGAGGCATTCAGTCTTAAAATAACTCTGAATATCGGATAATCCTAAACACATGTCAATGCTACACAACGACAACTGTGCCAACAAATCAAAATACGATCCCATCTATACTATCCGTTAAAATATCCTAATAACAACGAATATTTAATTATTTAGTCGATTATTTTGTTTGCATTCCTCTCCAACTACTTTTAATTTAGCATTACAGCTTATTATCTGACAGTTGGTTGGTAATAATCAATCAACACAAACTTTATTTATTCATATGTATTTTTAATTCTATGATAAACAAAATGATGCTTTATTTATCTTTAGCCGTAGCCAGAGGCTCCATTCAGTCACTGAATTTTGATAACAGTAGTACATATCATGCATATATATGTCATATTTTGAATGTCTCATATTCTTACTTTTCACAAAATCAAAATTTGGACAAGCGTTCACATAGACTTGTTGTAAAGATAAATTTTTGATATTCAGATTTCAAACATTTTTCTGAAGGAGCCCGGACCAGTTTGCCGGTTGAAACGTCAAAATTATCTTCAATATAATCACTGAGATTATTCCAAACATAGTTTTTACATCTGATGTCTTGTGTATATTTATTACCCGATTTCTGTCAATTCGTTAGTTCAAATTTTGACGAATTTTCATGTAAGTATAAACCTGATTAAAGAATTTCAAGTAAAATTTACCTACAATCTATGATAACTTAAAAAAATTACATTGCCTTGAGACGTAATGTCTTGGATAACCATTGAAAGTGCTTCGAAGACACGAAAATCATTACTACAGAAGTTACTTACCATGGACAATGATGATCCATTTTTAATAAGCATCTAAAACAGGGAAAACGGAGGACACTTACAAATTGAAAATCACTGACAGAAATCTGGATTTACTTTTGAATAGTAAGAGGATAGTTTCAAAAAGTAACCTAACTTATTCAGGATTTCGTTTATTCAGTATAGATGATTAAGGATACTATTTCACATAAATTTAAAATTACCTAAACTGTCAGGTACAACTGTGTCCAGTCAATTCATTTAGCATTATTCATATATTTCATTATAACTCTTTCATGGTAACTCCCAAAAATGCGAAAACCACCTAATTGCAAATATATCCTTTTACTTATAATATAACTCAAATACTGAACACAAGTTTGTGCATCCTGCCTTACGTGTGAGCCCTACCCATCTAGTTAAGTGGAAGTGGTTTCCAAACTGTGATATATATATATATATATATATATATATATATATATCAATCTTCCATGTACGAAAACTTAACAATAATTATGCATAAACTGAAGTTCAAAAAATTATAGCTAATCTGAAACCAGGAAGAGCAGCTGGTCCAAATGGATTAATCTCTAGAGGTCTTTAAGTACGGTGATCCAGGGTTAACGATTAGGTTGACTAACATCTCAGCTAAAATCTGGGAACTGAACGTACTAACACCTGATTGGCCACAATCTTAGATTGTCCCAATATATAAGAAAGGATCAAAATCATCCTGTGATAACTATAGAGGGATTAATTTGACTAATATAGTATCTAAAATACTGGCCTCAATAATTGTCGGACTCTTAATAAGGGCTCCTGAACTTCAAACACGATAAAATCAGGTTGGTTTCAGACATGGTCGTGGTTGCATCGACTACATATTCATCCTTCGTCAGGTTCTAGAACACAGACGTGCTTATCGGCACCCGACTATGATAGTTTTTATCGACCTAAAAGCAGTATTGTACTCTGTAGACCGAGAGGTTCTGTGGCAGTGTCTGTCATTAAGTTGTGAACCTCGGAAGTATATAAACTTTGTAAAGGCTCTTTACTCGAACACTACCAGTCAAGTCATAGCTCATGAAGAACTGTCATCCGATTTCTCAACCTCAAGTGGTGTACGGCAAGACTATAGCAAATCACGCGCAACTGAGTTTGTTCACATTTAATTCCGTTGATCCCTTTTGTTAATTTATTTAACGGACAGAGTCATCCGTACTATAACAACTTATCTATATCGTCGTACCCTTATTACTGTTGTGCTTGTATGGGGTATGTATGCTTGAACATTGCTTACCGCCTACGCATATACTCATTCTGCTAGCTTTATTATTAACTGCATAATTGATTCTATGATCCATTCATTTCCCTATATATATACATGTACATTTAATCCTATACACATCTCGGTTCGCTGACTCATTCATTTGCCTCTCTGCTTTGTGGTCTGAGTTATCTGCCCTGGTATGGCCGAGAGTGGGGTGGGCCCGCCCTCCCTCTCGAAATGCTCTCACACGGCCACGCGTATACAGCCTCTGCCAGGGAAGTCCTACTCACTGCCTTCTCGTGGCGGGGGTGTTGTCTGTGAAAATGAGAGGACGAAAAGCGAATGTCCGGCGCTTTAACCGGATCACAAACCAATGGTGCACATGGGCTCCAGTATCCTGCGGGAACAAATGGTGTATGAACCACTCGTTGGTCACCGGCTACCATGGGATTGCATCTCCTTACGATGCTCCATTGCCTTGTGGATCAGACCTTTAGGTTAAGGGCTCAGGGTGTAGTCTCATAAGAAAACCACCTGCTTCGGTCTGGGCACGCGGGCAGTATCACAGCCCCCCCCACACATAAATATGGTGTTGTGCATATATATTTGGTGCCCTCTTGTACCAATATTTATGTGTTCAAATAAATAAATAATAAAAAGCCGTGGTCGCTGCTTTTCTTTGCCTTCTGATTTCAAACACCGTTGAGGATTATATGATAATGGTTACGAAGCACAGCCACCAAAAGGTTGTCCACTATCTCCATTTCTGTTTAATTTCATTATAAACCTACTGTTGGAAACAAACTTCTCTTCGACTGAATTTTCGGGCATTGATCTCCTTCCAGGAGGTCCACTTATCGACTTGGAATACGGAAATGATATAGTCCTGTTTAGTGAAGACGCTGATAAAATGCAGAGTCTTCTGGTAGCACTAAGTAACAATGCCAGAATGTTTGGCATGCGCTTCCCTCACTCTAAATATAAGTTGTTGCTTTAGGACCGGTCTGCATCAACACCTGAACTAAGGATAGGGAGTGAAGTAGTCGAACGCGTTGACAACTTCACTTATCTTGGAAGTCTGATCAGCCCAAATGGGTTAATGTCTGACGGAATCTCAGCATTGATTCCCAAAGCTCGTTTGGCTCTTGCCAGCTTACATCACCTGTGGCGAGGGCGACATATCCGTCCATCTATTAAGGGACGAGTATACTGCACAGCAGCTCGTTCTGTTCTACTTTACGGTTGCGAAACGTGACCATTGAGTAGAAGATACTGGTAAGCTACTAGTATTTAATCGCAGATGTCTTAGAAATACTGGTCGCATCTGCTGGGATCACTGGGTAGGTAATAGTGAGGTTAGACACAGGGTATTAGGGAATAATATCACTAACTTCTGGTTTGAGCCATGTTGGTAGATGCAGACTACTTCGTTGGGGTCCGCGTGACTAACGTGTCTAATGGTTGGAGACTCTGTGTCACATGTCTCAGAATCGATCACAATGGCGTCAGTGTATACACTTTTTGTCTTCCCTTAAACCGTGAGATTGAAATTGCTTTATGTCTTTCTTTCTACTACCTAATTCGTTCTTCCTGTACTATATCGTTATACACAATCCATTCTTTTATACATTACCACCATTAATGTGACTACTATGAATTCGGTGTTCATCTTGTGCTAACGAGGTGTGGCAACTTGGACCGATACATACATGTGTCGGGTCCTACTTCGTATCTGACTGACTGATAAATTAAAAGAAACTAGATCAACGGTATTGTGTTAACTTGATTTGAGCATAGCACATTTAAGATAGATGTCTCATAATCTATAGAATATTGACGTTATGAAATACCAAACTCACACTCCACAGGTAGAACAGTGATGTGAACGATCGGGTTTTATTATGGCACATACGTTACACACACGGATCTTCCCATCTGAACCGGAAAGATAGACTGGCAGGTTTCGTTCTGCTATTATGGCTTCTAATATTGCATTTTGTTCAGATTCTTTCCCAGTAGCAGCATTCAATGAATCCCATTCACTACTTGTTAGGTGGAACTATGATAAACAAATAAAACAAGTGGACAGAAGTTTAACGAAAAATGGAGCTTCTAACTGTCGAATAAAGGGACAGAAAGGATAACACCAAAGAAACTCATCTAATGAAATTCTTTTAAGGTTAATGTGTGTAAGCTTTATCTAGAAATATAAGATGACATTCACGAACCAAATTCTCAGTTAATCCATCCACTACTTATGAATCCCTTAAACAAACACCACACGTTACCATTACCAAGCAACTTTCGTATTTCATAACTAAAAATATGAGCCATTGAATAGAAATGAGAAAAAATCGTCACCAATCAACAAAACTGTCGTAGTCCAGTACTATAGACATTGGACGTTAGGAGACTGTCATGCGTTTTAATGCAATCTACTCAAATAGATGGTGAGTCTGGAAGTATTATTAGTCCTTGTACAACCCAATATGCTCACTAACAAATTACCTGCGTTTTATTTATTTATTTGAACACATATCTTGGTACAAGAGGGCACCAAATATATATGCGCCACACAAAACAATGGGAATTTGAAGAGGAGAAGGAAAAAGGTGAGGAGCGTTAAAAAAAACAATAACGAATAGATTAGTGTAAGGTAGTCTGATAATAATAATAACAATAATAATGGGGAAAACGGAAAGGTACAATCAGAAGAAATCTTTCAGTTAAGGAAGACACAACCACTTCTTTCTTTTATTATGAAGAAAGCAAAAGAGGGTTACAGCATGATCGCCACTGGCTTTTATTCTGAGCCATATGTGATAACGTCTCTAGCCACTGTGTTGCACCATCTCTCAGACCCCAGCCAGGAAGTCGTGAATGACCAACACAAGCCAGACCTTTGCAGCTTTCTTTCATACCACGACACTATGCCATACACTGACCACCACTCCGATTTTTCTAACCAGTCCCAGAGTCGGCAAATAATGCACGACGTGGAATTCTCTGGGACGACATTCGTAGAACATATCCAAGCCACCGAAGTCGGTGTTTCAAGATGGTGACACCAATTGAATTATCGTCTCTGCACCCGAGCACACGATGCCGAACCTCTGCATTACTGACATGATGTTGCCACTGGATGTCAGCAATCCTTCGGACAGCGATGATCGAACACAGAGAGTCGTTTAACATCCCCAACTAAAAGAGTCCAGGTTTCACAAGTATAGAGCAAAACTGCTCTCAACGACGCGTTGTAGATCCAACCTTTTACAGCCAGACTAACATCCCGAAGGCGCCAAAGATGGCCCAGATTGGCATAAGTCGCTCTGGCTTCCACTATACGTGCATTGATCTCATCACTCACACTCCCACCAGCACTTATGCAGCTACCCAGATACACGAACTTCTCAACTACTTCTATCTGCTCACCATCCAGGGTGAGTACAGGTTTAGAATCCTGCCAGTCTTGTAGAAGTACTTTGCACTTCGGAGGCGCAAAGCACACACCATACCTGCGTCTTAAACTCAAGTAAAGCAGAATATTTCTGTGTTGAAATACACAAAAAGTATGTATACAGCTTTTTGAATCCTCACAATTAACACTATATAAAACTGATGAAAGCATTGTGTGACTCAACTCAGTAATTAAAATTGTATCAAGAAATAGGACTTAACGGAACACTTAATGTTTACCTTCTGACAATTCTTTCGAGAATCTCTGAACACTTACACCCTTGGTTTTATGTAAGACGTAAAAAACATTCCGATTTCAGACTATCAGAAGGACTTAATTAACTCATTGCATAATGTACACACTTATTTCAACGTTATAAAGTGTCGAATGACCGATTTAGGCATCATGAAATGTGAGCTTTGAAAAATGGCTTTGACAACTAAGAAATTGAAAAAACTTAGGCATCATTTCGTGACAAGTATTGGTACTCGACTACCAGGTATACAAACAACTTGATTACATGTCAAGCGCTTCGAATAATATTGCATAAGCCTACCCACCACCCACCTAGAGGTACAAAACTTAATGGAATACGAGTGGTGTAGGAGAAGTGCCCAAGCCAAAACAACCAATCCATAAAACCCCTGACAACTGGATGAGCCAAGTGGGCAGGTATAGACTATTTCATTGAGGTTCTAGCGATAATCGCGAAGAAAGTTGAACTTGGGGAAAAGGCTTTTGATGTATGAGATATTTGTATAGAACTTTAAAAATACTGCTGAATTCACTAGGCAAGTGGACTATAACCGTGTTTCGTATCAAAAAGCCAGGACGAAAACTCATTAACGCACTTACAGAACCGATCAAAACTCGGAGTCTGAGATTGAAGTCCTTTTTCTTAGTTTTTTGACTATTAAATGTAAATAAAATATTCACTGATAACCTTAATACGAGCTACATTCAATCTAATCAGATGAACGACATTATTAAAGCAAGATTTACAGTTGCAACACAAGACAAGATTAAGTTAATTTGTTAAAGAAAGACTAATGCGTTAGTAAAATCTACTAAAGTAGTATTTATTCGGCAAACACTAATTTCTACACATACAATGGTGGGAACACACGTAGCCCTACCGGTATATCAACACATAAACTAGTTGTCAGAAAGTACATCAAATCAAACCTTGGTCGAAAAAACACAAAATGACTGTACCAGACACTGACCTGTTTCGGAGGCTGAATAGGAGGTACTAGGATAGCCTTCATGTATGACCAACAAAACAATATCAGGAACAAGTGGAAAAATATCAGAAAAAACACTAAAAGTAGAACTCAGAGTATTAAACTACCTTTTTCTGCCACATAATTAACCTGTACTAAATTAAAGTAGTGAAATATAGCTTAGACGAGTTACCTATACAAAGTGAATACACATAAGCATAATACGACCACCCGAGAACTAAAAGTATAAACACTACAGGAACCCATCCACAAATCTTTTGGCACTTATTAATAGCGCCTTTATTGTTACAACATGCCATCTCTAGACCGATACGTAATTAGAAATCACAGCCCCTAACATTAGCACCCAAGGTCATACATTTCAAATAGCACCCGAAAACAAGTGACCTATTGAGTTCAGAAAATTAATATCAAATCTCAAACTTTACTGAAAAAAATCAGCAACCTGTTCGTCGCTAGAAGTTGGCTTCTGAGTACTAGGTGATAAGATTTAGTTACCAAGTGGTGCGATTCCTCTTATACTTCGTCTGAAGATCTAAAACTTGTGAGTTAGGTTTGTATAATAAGGACAGAAGGCCTAAAGCCTCTGTCAACCCCTTTCTAGTAAGCTTCTATGGGAAATTATTCCTCTCGTGAATGAGTAAATTAAAGGTGCAGACAACTCCGCTTCGGGTAACAGGTTCCAAGAACTCGGTGTGAAGATCACCCCCGATAAGTATCCAATCCCGCACATACACGATTTTTCGTTAAGTCTACACGGTAAACGCATCTTTTCGGACCTTGACCTGGTTCGAGCATACCACCAAATCCCAATGGCACCGGAAGACGTTGAAAACGGCCATAATCACACTTTTTGGTTTGTTTGAGTTTCTAAGGATGACATTCGGACTGAAAAATGCTGCTCAGACATTTCAACTCTTCATGGACAACGTTACAACTGTTCTGGATCTCGTGTTTGCTTACATAGACGACGTTTTAATTGCAAGTGCATAATTAGAAGAACATGTTCAACATGTACAGATCCTTTTTGATCGCTTTGAAAAACATGGTGTTGTCATTAATCCGTCGAAATGCATATTCGAAGTTTCAGCCTTGGAGTTTCTTGGGCATTACATCGACTCGCAAGGTATTAAACCACTTTCAGAAAAAGTCGAAGCCATAGTAAATTTTCCTGAGCCTAGGTAGATAAAGGCATTACGACGGTTCCTGAGGATGTGCAACTTCTACCGGCGTTTTCTCGCCAACTGCGCGACCATCTTACAATCTTTGACAGACCTACTGAAGACTGATAATGCTACAGCTCAGACGAAAAAGGAGAACACCTTCACATTAACCTCGGAGGCAAGAGAGGCCTTTGGTAAAGCGAAACCGACGATATCATCGATGATAACATCTAAATGCTGACCCCACAACCCACTTGATTCTGTGCACGGATGCATTACACAAAGCCGGGGCAGTACTTCAACAACAAATAAACAACGTGACTACTCCTACAGCGTTTTTCTCCAAAAGACAGTCACCATATCAGGGACGCTATAGCATCGTCGGCCGGGAGTTACTAGCCATGTATTTAGCCGTTAAACATTTCACCTTCTTACTACAAGGGAGAACCTTCACCAAAATCCTTTGTGTTACTCGTTCAATACTTCATACGACCGACATTCACCGCGCGAAGCACGACAGTTAGATTACATCTCCCAATTTACAACCGATATCCAATACGTCAAAGGACACACTAATGTCGTAGCGGACACATTATCACGAACTGATGTTAATACTCTGGTACGTAAGGAAGACATTGATCTGGAAACAATTGCAAGATTGCAAATAGACGACGCAGATATAAAAAGCTGCAAAAAAGTTTAACTTGATACTCAAACACGTGCCTATTTCTTTTTCTAACGCATCTATTATTTGCGACGTTTCAACGGGCGGCAATCGCCTCTTTGTCCCGCAAGCCTGTCGACGTCATGTATTCCGACAACTGCACGACATTTCACATCCAGGTATCAGAGCCACCACTAAATTAATAACTGAACTTTTCGTGTGGCCTAAGATTAATTCAGATATAAAACGATGGACTCGAAGCTGCTTACAATGTCAACGCAGCAAGATTCAAAAACACCCATCAGTCCTGTCGGGAGGTTTCCTCTGCCAGAGAAACCTTTCCAGCAGATTCATCTAGACATAGTTGGTCCACTGCCACCATCAAATTCATTCACGCACATCCTCACCGCAGTGGATAGATTCACAAGATGGGCCATAGCATGCCCTATTGCCGACACTTCTGCAGAAATAGTAGCATTCGTTTTTCTTGACCGCTGGATATCGAACTATGGAGCACCTTTGATAGTCACTACAGATCGTGGTCCCCAGTTCCAGTCTATCTTATTTCAGGAGTTTACAAGACTTCTGGGCGTAAACCACATCGAAACAACAGCTTATCATCCGGCAGATTATGGCATGGTCGAAAGATTCCATCGCCAGCTAAAAAGCTCACTGATGGCACAAGCGGACTCTTCTAAGTGGAGCGATGCTTTACAGCTCGTACTCCTTGGGATTTGTTCATCTATAAAGGAAGACATCGTATGCACGGCCGCCGAACTAGTTTACGGCACGATCCTAACGTTACCAGGACAGCTGGTCAATAGTGAACCTACAACATCGATGGATCCTTCTCGTTTTGTGAGCCGCTTACTGCAAACGATGCAGAATATCAAAGCAATGCTTCCGCAAGAACATAACAACCGAGTCCAACTCGATAAACATCTGGAAACGCGCAAATTTGTTTTGGTTCGAGCAGACGCTGTAAAAAAGCCCCTGACACCACCATATGAAGGTCCTTATAAAGTAATGAAACGCACTCACAAATATTTCATTATCAACAAAAACGGGAACAAGGAGACAATTTCTATAGACCGAATAAAACCAGCTTTCTACGAAGTCCCTCAAGACAAAGAAGACAATACTGCGAACAAACAACCACCCGCATCAATTGCTACGAAACAAGAAGAGGACGAAAAACTTAGCACTACATCCTCTTTTTTAACACGTTCTGGGAGACTTATAAAAAAACTCAAGCGTTATGTACATTTTGCAGCATAAAAAGCAAAAACAATCAAAGCAAACAATTATCGAGGTCCTACACTATCAATTCCACCCAAACAAAATTTTTCTTTTCACAGTGTACATAATCACATTTTTCCACAATTATTCGTTTTGTCACATTTTTTTGTTACAATAATAAACGAGTGAACTCCATTTAACTATTCATTTATTGTACACAAAAATAAACAGTTCTTTTTTGTGGGTCATTAGCAGTTTTGTACATTATTATCATTGTTAACCAAACAACACAATAAATGATAGTGTTTTTATTTCTTTTGTGTTCGTTACGCTATGCTATACTACTGCTATTCTCAAACGATAACACACTGCATCTTACTAACGTATATGTCATATCCATCGCCACAATTTTCGTTGGTTATAACTGTAAATACTATTTTTGTATATACGTATATATCACATCGATACATTTGTTTTGTTATTATAACCAGTGTTACCTCCGGACACTCTGGGGGAGCTATGTGGAGATAGGTCTGACAAGCTTATTTTGTAAATAGCTTTTAATATTATTTGTATTTATTTTGCCAATCTTTCACTCTATGTATATTCAACATTAAATGACTGTAACTGTTGTTGTAGTAAATGACCTTGAACTCACTCCGTCCGTTGTGTAACTACATAGCGTGACATACTTGTGGTTGTTCTCAAATACACTGCTACACACACACTCCTTGTTCTCCTCCCACTCGTTATTGAGCTAATTGCATCCTAAATCGAATGTCATCCACACTTATAGACTGTGAGCTGAGACATATCGCACATAACAGTGGATTACATTATTGGAGAGTTCAACAACCTATACGAAATCATCGAATATTTATAATTGTGGATTTACAATACAAGACCCAAGCAGAACACGCCACACTTGGTGAATTTAGGTAAATTCCATATTTTTATGTTGTATTAATAACTATTAACATTATTATTTACTCTTTATAACTTGGTTAACACTTTTTCGCGTTCATATTTGTCTGATCCACCACAGCCTGTATACCATGGGTATTTTGTTCGTTCTTGACTCTCCTACTCGCCTGTTATGTCCTCCTAGATGTCCCAGTCTAGTGGAAAGAAAAAGAGGATATATGAGGTCCAACACCATTTCTTAGTATTCAATACATCGAAATCAGATCACATCTTAATTTTGCGCTAGGACAAAGTAAAGAGGTTGTTAGGATATTCGGAAAAATATACCAATAATTATCATGCTAAGTCTAATGGTGTCCTTGGACTTTAAATGGACATTCCCTATTGGTCAATATTTATTTCACTTGTTAAATATTGTACAAATGTTGTTTTCTATTTTATGGTACGATGTGGTTTGTTTGGTTGATATATAAACAGAGTATGCCTGAAGCATAATGATTCATATCTTAGAGGCTTAGACTTGTGTTCTGGACTCAACTGGCTGGGCTAGACAGGGAAACGGGACCAATCTGAACCCTAGGTCGTTCTTACGTGTTTGCGCGTCTTTGGTCCGATCGATAATTCGCTGTCCTCTAATCTGCTGTCATTTATAGCAGAGGTCTGGCTTTTCCAACATCTCTTTATATGGTAAACTCGGGAGTTCCGGAAATCCAAGGGTAGCTGCCCTCTCTACATTCTCCAGGATACCCGAGTCATCTTTCAACAGGGGCTTGCAGCCTGAACGCAATTTTCAAGCTTGGTTCTCACCAGGGTTGTGTAAACTGTAGTGAATATAGTAGTATCAAACTTGGTGAATGTCCGTCTTAAAGCCGATGGGGTTATAAACCTCTTGGCTGCAACCTCTCAGCAGTGAGCCGTGGCTTTAAGATCATGACTCACTGTCACGCTAAGATCATTGTGGGACCGAATTACGAGTACTGGCATTTCCCCTATGCTCTACGTATTTAACTTTGTATCCCCAATGTGCATGTTGGCACATTGTTCGCGCTGATAGGTACCAGCCACTTTATTTAAACCAGCTAATCAGAATATTTAGGTCTTTTCAAAGTGCACAAGCATGTGTCTGCTGCTGTCTCTTGCCAGAGTTTTACATCAACAGGGTATATTAATATTGGAGACTGTACTATAATTGGTAGTTTATTTACATACAGTACGTAGTGGATCTAGGACAGAACCTCTCTGTACTCCACTAAGTACTGGTTTCTGGGTGGACCACATCGAATTTATTCTTACTTTCTGTCTAAGACCT